AAAAGATGCCATTTTCATGCTTAGGACCACCGATTACCCCTGTTCCCGAGTTTACAGCGAAATTGGAGGCGAAACAGGTTTTGGCGCCAATTGGCGCCACCTGACGCCAGCGCTGAAAACTACTGCTATATTCATGTTCAGCACCCTTGAATACCCCTCTCAGTGAAGTTTCGTCTCTGATGAATTTTCACGACCACTGAGGTTATGTTAGTCAAAAAGACTGTCATCTTGGACAATGCGTCCCAACGTCGACCCGCAAAGAAAAATGCGCGCGGTCCCACATGGCAGACACGCGAAAAATGGCATTGTCGCCAGCGTGTTAAGCTAGTGATACGGCCCCGAGCAATACTTCAGCAGATAAGGTGGACATCACTGTTACCTTGTACAACACAGGGCTACACTTGAATGAAACACTCCTTGGTTCACGGACGTTCTTGAAGCTGTCATAAGGCGCAAGAGTCAAACTGCCACTATGAAGAACACTCATGCGCCGATTCGCTCAAACCACGAATTCTCATTGAAACCATCCAAGCGACCATCCACTGGCATTTCAACGAGGCATGCCAAGCAAAAGTATTTGATTGTAAACTATGAATTCGAAAAATAAAGGTAACTAAATAAAAGGTAAAAGGTTAACTGAACAAACATAGCAACTCACATCATGCTCAGTGTTATGCTTGGCCGCTCCGGGTACGTTCTCGGGAAATAGAATCGGAGAAGGAGCGCGTTGAAGGGATTCGGTGCATGACAGCACTCCCGACTGGCTGGCAGCTCGGCTCACGTTCATCTGTAATTGTCCACAGATCGACTTACGAACAGAACAATATTTTATTCGACAATTGTATTGAGCACGTTCAGTGAAATATTCTCTGACAATTAGATGATAAACCCATTTCGCTTGTATGACGCGTGTACAGCAAGAAAAAACAAAAGGGCTATTGCACTTCGAAGGGCACAAAGAGGTTTTTGACAGGCATCCAGCATGGGACCGAAATCGCTGACTACATCCGGAAACAAAATGGTTCCCGTCCTCAACCCAGAAGGAGTAGCGGAATGTGTGGCTTCCATTAAACCTAACAGATACACTACAGCAAGCGATGTTTCCAAACCATGAGTAAACACTGCGTTACAACGACCGCACGATAACTGCCTCGATTTCAAAAACTCAAAAGCCAGGCCAGATTCCATCAACGAGACCAGAAATGGTCCAGTGAGACCCCTCAGACTGGTTTTCCACCACAGCACTTCGCCCTAGAGGTGACAGGCGACTATGGCGACCTTCCTGAAGGACAGCACGCAGTCATGCGCACCTCCCATCATATCGATCGCTCTCTCTCACAGTTCATCACTCACTATCCGAACCACGTTCCATTGTGGATCTTGTTTTCCGACGTCACGACTATTCCGCAGGTCTTGAAGACCACAAATTCGCTCACATTCTCGAACACTGGAGATTTATTCACTCACTGCTGATGAAAAATGCTTTGTAGTAACGCGTTATCTAAGCCCTGTACGTTTGAGCAACAGGTGATATGCTGGATCAAAGCATCGCTGTTCCTCACTGTTCGCATCACAAGGCCTCTGCATATTATAACTCATACAACCAAATGTCGAAGCTTTCATTGATTACCCAACGAACAATTACTAGTGACAGTAACGAACTCGATGGCACGAATAATAATTTTTGACTGTTTTGTTAGAAGAATACATAAAGCAGGTCGAAGAAGGCCTTCAGGAAGGTGGGAAAGAGAGTCAACAGCATCTGTGGAAGTAGGACGTGGACAGAAACATGTACGCGTAGACAGAACAGAAGCTGAAGTAATGTGCAAATAGCGCCGACTCGAATCGGTGGGAGAATTAGATTGGAGCGCGAATTCCGACGTAGGGCGCGCTTTTATCAGATTTGCACTGCGGACATTGCAGGGTTGGTTATGAAGAGATTATATCTAACATTGTCAACTATTGAGCTTTTTACAAAGCCCAGAGGGGTTATCGAGAGCTCCTGATCACGAATATGACCTTAGTTTTTGGCGCTGGCGCCAAATTGGCGCCAATTGGCGCCAAGGGTGTTCTCACCAAATTCGCTGTAAACTTGTGGATAGGGGTTATCGAGGCTCCTGATCACGAATATGACCTTAGTTTTGGCTCAATTTCTCTAGGTGACGCTCGAAATAGATGTCATCTAGGGCGCTCATCCAGTAAGGGGGCATCAAGTGGCTGCCCTCACCCCCCACCCCCCTGAACTGGCTTCTCCCCTGGCTCACGGGGTCCCGTACTTCGAGAAACCTGTGTGCCAGGGGGGGGGAGTGTAGGCAGTCTAGGGGGGTGGGGGGTGAGGGCAGCCACTTGATGCCCCCCCCCCTTACTGGATGAGCGCCTAGATGACATCTATTTCGAGCGTCACCTAGAGAAATTGAGCCAAAACTAAGGTCATATTCGTGATCAGGAGCCTCGATAACCCCTATTCACAAGTTTACAGCGAATTTGGTGAGAACACCCTTGGCGCCAATTGGCGCCAAATGGCGCCAATTTGGCGCCAGCGCCAAAAACTAAGGTCATATTCGTGATCAGGAGCCTCGATAACCCCCCTAGCGCAAGTTTCAGCGAAAAATTTTTTTGATCCATCTCACCCCCTCTGGGGTTGTAATAGCTCAATAGTGCCCTAAACATTTAGTCTTTTCCTTGGATATAACCAGATGTAAGTACGAAGTCGTGAAGGAAGGTTGATGAGCAATTAGAGGGTGGGAGGGGCGGGGTGAGGCGTGAACCACCTATCGTGTGGCGAAATTTTGGCGTGTGAGATCAGTGCCTGGTGTCTTGCCTCGTAGAGCGAAAGGAGTAGATGCCACAGCACCTATGAAAAGCCCAATGTGAACATAAATCGACCTTGTTGATCGAACACTCTCTCTATTGTGGAACCATTTTTCTAGCGGTTCCCTTTGCAGCTTCTAACTTAGATGTAGAGTTTGCAGGTGGTGCAGTAGTGCTATTCATTGCAGCGCTGATATGGGCCCACTATGAGCCTTAGAATAATGCGCTACACGACAGTTCCTGACAACCATCAGGAACCTTGTGATGCGTCGACAATAAATCCTGAGAGATGTGATGACACTGACCTGATCGCAGAGGACTCAATTCACGGGTAAGTTTTGGTCGCACGCAGTCGACCTTTTGCTGGAGACGAAAGAACGCCAAATGTCCTTTGAATCCTATGACTCACAGCGCGATGCCAAGATTAGTCAGAAGAGACCCTCATATAGAGATCAATTTACGCTGAATTCAGGCCACATACCAATCGCGTTCGAAAATATGTTCGTCTTACTGCGACAAAGCAAAGAATCTTCTGCTTGCGAAGGTGATCATTCTTGAATGGAGGTTGCTTTAAGCATACCCCATGCAATTCTAACGAGTCGCTCATTTCACCCCCACACTAGAGCCTGCTGTTGAAGTGATACATTTTTCTATCGGCCCACTTTCTGACCCTTTGCAATACTCGACCCAACCGCCTCCTACTGCTCGCATACATAGCCGTAGTAGGGCCATGCTCGGTCTGGAGAAAAATCTCCAATATCGGCAATGATTCGCTCCTAAAATGTGAATTTGTGAGTTCGTGGATTTATTATGCTAGGACTTTTCAGGTGCTTCGCTGCTGCTGTGCAGCGCTGTGCTGGTCCTTTTCATCTTCATGCTTATTTGTTTCGGTCGAGTAATGAGCAAGCTGACTGTGCAGCAATACAGGAATAATCAAGGTACTGACAGTTCCCTTTCTAGAGTTTGGTCCAGTGTTTATTTATAGTAAAAAAAATATTTGTTACACTCAATTTAGGCCTACACATGATACCGGACTACGACACCCGCACCGGCAATGGCATTCTGAGCCTGGCCCGGGACAAAGTAGCGAAGGAACGCTATGTGGAAATCATTCATGAGTATATCGAAGGTACCTCAAAGCCACTCGATAGCTTTGTGCTCGTCGTAGAGGATTGCAGCGTGCCCTGGAGAGCAGAGTTCGCGATTGAGAGGGGTAGTTCATGATCACGCCGGCTGCGCAATCGGTTCTGGCCAGAGAAAATGCACGGTCAGCGGGGAAGAGCCAAGCCAAATATTTTCCTGGAACACTTGTGAGCTGAGGAACGGAAGAGGGTGGAGCAGGAAAGGTAACATACCGACGGAACCGATTGCGCACCGCCGGCAATCGCAATCCCCACGGGCTCGCAGCGCGCCACCTCACAACAGATAGCAAACACCTGATCAAAATTTTTAGCGTACAAGAAGGAGCAGATGTCACGTGCAAATTTCACAAAGGAGTGCGGACCGTCTGAAAGGTGAGAATTTTCGATTTGCAGAATGGTCGTAATGGACACGTGGGTGAAGCGTAAACAGCACAACAGTGCAGTCGCGTTGAAGTTTCCTTGAAAACGGGTGGAGAGGTTGAAAATCACAGGGGCAAATATAATATGTTTTCCGCAAGCTCTAACACTTCCATTTCTGGACTCCATGACGGCAGGATGAGGGGCTTCGTGTTTTGCTCTCGAAAATGTAAATTTTCCCTCGCGTAGGAGGTGTGGACTGCTTGTAAATGTTTGGGGAGCACTCTGCTGCAGTCGGGATTCGAGGCTTTCACGAAACCAGGGATGGCAGGTTCTCTTTCTCGCCCTCAGTTGGAGCGCAGCATTATTTCGTCCTAGTCGTTTTCAATTTTAGCCAAATTTACTTAAAGAAACTTGTTTTTTACGACTCTCTATCCTTTGTAGCTATCGGAAGATAGGGGTATCGTGACGGCAATGCAATTAGAACCGTGTAAAACATCTCCTCCTACGAAATCGTGGCAAGCGCATGACGACAGAGGAAATAACAGGTGAGTGAGCAATTTCGGGAATCTCTCCTCTCAGGCTTGTTTTAGAGAACCCCATCTTGCGGTAGCGCCTATCTTTTTGCTTCTGGTCAGCAACTTAGGCTTGCTTTGGTGTTTGATTACTACTTCGAGTAGTCACAGCCGTTCCATTGCATCACATTTCACTTTCATGCAGCCTGCGCACGCGTGGTGCAGATTCCCTCTGAAGTCTTCGATCGCAAGGCTGCGCGTGCATGAATCCGACTGGCTCGACAGTGGCGTGCTTTTATTCAGCTCAAGCTGGTGATACACAAATTCTTTCCAAAGGTTCGAAGGTTTGCCAAGCTCCGCAGTTGCCATACCCTAATTCACCAGAAGGTGGGAGATCACGGTGAAGAGCACCCATCGGAGGCTGACGCAATAAGAGGTGTCGAAGCCGGCAAGGCCCATGGCGTAGTCCCAAGTAATAAATTTGTTTTCAGCAGTCAAGCTGGACGCCGATCTTCACTCGCAACGTCACGGTCTTGCCCGTTCAAATGTGATGCGGTTAAGTTTCACCCTCTGGATTCGAACCAAAGCAGTTTCGTGCTGTAGGAAAACCTCAGCTGGAGTTCTAAAATTGATGGAAAACGGTTACTAGCAGTGAATGTTATGACTTTCAGTATGACCAAGCGTCACTGCGCAAGAACCCGGAGGTGAAGATCATCTCGGCATTTGGTAACGGTACGCAAGACGGATTCCCAGTGAATAAGGTGAGAGTTAGGTCAGCCAAAAAAAAATACGGGTAAGGTCGTGATCCGCAACAGCGCAACTTCTACCCTCCTTTACTTAGAGAAGGGTTTAACGTTCTATAAGACTTTAAGGGAGACTATGAGGACAGGACATGCAATCGTTAATTTCTTGCCATACCGGCTGATACCTGACTCTCTGACAGATGTAGAAAGAGCGAAGTTAGGCACCATAGTATCGCCAGTTCAACGGTAGGATGGTGTGGAGGCAAGTGCGGTGGACTCTGACTGGAACGGACCATTGTTCGATCTTCCTTCTTTGTCACTGTTGCGTTCATCCTTGTTTGTACTCTCTGTCTTCGCTACACTTCTCAATTTCGTCCTTTTTGTGATTGTGACAGCTTAGAAGAGTTCTTGCTACCCAATTCACAATAAGTTCTGCTAAGGATAGCGTCTCTTTGTCACACAGCACAACTTCTCTAAAGGCTTAATGCAAAGGAAACCGATTTTAGATACCGTCGAGAGCGATATCGGATGGCGACGGCAGGGATGTGTCTGACGAAAACGGCGAAACCCTCTACGACCAGCCGGCTCTCGTAGGGTCTTTAAATTTTTTGCATTTTTTTTCAAATAAATTATGATCACATTGGGAGCTGCCTGCGATGTCTCCGCCTCAATCACACCCATGAATTCCTGGGTCTTCGCGAGTTTATGCTTTTTGCGTGTGGGAGGAAGGCGGTATAGCAAGTTTTGTGCAGTCCCTCCTGAAATTCATGGCACAAAATCGGTAGAAGAATGGCGTTCGTGGGAACCCCTCCCTTTTAAATGAAAGACTAGGCTATTGAAGGATCACATCTGGTGATCAGCGACTGTTTTAGGTTTTCGTGAAAATCCGCCTCGACAGGAGCATCCACACGAGCGTACGGTGTTCCTTAGCTCAAGCAACGACCAACACGGCAGTGCTGAATCTCGCCTCTCTACCTGGAAATCGTGTTGTCAATTTTGATTTGTTCTATCCCTATGTGCAATAAAAGATGGGAACGATATTCACGCGTAAAAGTGGGAGCTATGCTGTGAGCAGTTTGCAGGACTGCTCGAAAAGTCAGGAAAGGGTCAGCGCGACTAAAAACAACAAATCCCAAGAAATGGGAGAAATAGAGTAAGCACATCTGGACTGAGTGACTGTGGAAGTTTCTGAATTATGGACGATTGGGCACAATGTTTCTCGATATCTGAGGCAACACAGATCGATTCGGGGGTGCCGATGTCCAGAAAGCGAACCTCTAAAGTTCTAGAGCTCCGATTGTATGTTTCAAAGACCGGTCGCGATGCACTTGTCTAATCTCATGTTGAATCTGCCCAGATATCTTTCCACGAATCTCGCCGATCCTTCCTCTGGAAACAGCTCCGATCGCCTCTCTTTCTATTGATGCTTTGTTCTGGTCGTCCAGCTGATTTTCGTTTCTGTTGTACTTCTCGCATTCCTTCAGACTGAGCCCTCTCTTTTTCATGAGCATCCATGTGCACAAGGACCTAAGATGTCGATGATCAGCCATTATGTAAGATTCATTGAGACCA